AGAGAGAGAGAGAGAGAGAGAGAGAGAGAGAGAGAGAGAGAGAGAGAAGTTGAACTTTGTCACGATGTTGTAATTTTATGAGACGTACGTGTTTGAAAACTGAACAGTCACGAACGTCTGTTGAATTCTTGTCGTCCTGTCCAACAACAACCTCGGTCAATAAAAGGAGACTTAAAGATGGAACAGTTGATAAAAGTTTGCTGTTATTTGTGGAGATTTTATTTATTAATTATTTGCTGTTCTGCTGAGCAACGATTGCTACATGTGTCCAAACGTTATAAAATAATAATAAAGAAATGACCAAGACTGTTGGTGTTCACGCTTCCCTGTAGTGGAGCAGTGAATTTTTATTAGTGAATTTTGGACCCTTTTCGTTCTGGGCTTGTCGGCTCGTGCACGCCAGCGTTGAGTTCTGGGCTTGTCGGCTCGTGCACACCAGCGTTGAGTTCTGGGCTTGCTGGCTCGTGCACGCCAGCGTATGTATGTTTGTATGACAGTACGACATGGAGAGTATCATTAAGCCAACGCAGTGCCTCGTGCATCGGTTCATCCTGAGTCGGGGTGCGACACATTTCCGTCTTGTTTTAGTGTCGAGTTTGAACTTTGAACCAAAGAACCGTCACTAACTCTAAACCAGTGCTTGAGCTCTGGAACAAACCGGCTTCTTCACTCTAGTAAAAGTTGATCTTCATGAAGAACCTGCCGTGCTCTTTTGAAATACTGCAGTTTCATTTGTTGTACCGTTGCCGTCTGCTGGATTGCTGCTGCTAAGTTGCTGGTTTTGGTTGTTCTGTCATTTTTCCAGGTCTCAAGTTGCTGCTCTGAAGCAACATTGCAGCAACTGTGTGGTCTGGAGTTTACAGCTGAAATTAGCTCCAACCGTTTTCTAATTGATGTTTTTTAAAGGAATGCAGCTTTAACGGCATTTAGGCCATTACTGACTGGGTACCACTAAAGATGGTGCTTTTAGAGTTAACCGCTGGTTTGAGACCATATGTCAGTGCACGTGGTCCCTCAAGGCTTTGTGTTTGGTCCATTAAAAACAAAACATAGTTTCCTTCACCACGATCTTGCTGAGCACGCCTCTTTTCCATTGAAACCAGAAGACAAGCAGAATGCACCAGCTTCTCTTGGAAAACTCTGTCAAATCTCTTTCCCTCCGTCTTCTTAACTCAAGGCTTCAAAACTTGGATAAACACGACAAGTCTTCCTGTCACACGGGGCAAAACTGTCGGGCAGACCACATCATGTTTCATGGCTGAACGTCTGTCCTTCATCCAGGAACCTGGTCCCAGTTGATCATACTGGTCAGTGTATAGTATTGAACCATGTGAGCCACATTTGATCCAGTCACTGAAGGTGTTTTAAAGCCTTCCCACAATGTGTGAACTCTGAACGCTCTGAAAGAGCACAGCATGTCATGATTTCAGCTCTCTCTGCTGCTCTTCTTTGGTTTTGTGTGACCTTGCTGCTCCTCTCACTCGTCTCTCTCTTCTCACTCAACCATTATTGTTGCTGACTTTAATATTCACATGGACAATGACGGTGACCTCCTCCAGAGATTTCACCTCCTGTCTGGAAAGTTTTGGACTCCAGTGGTATACGTCACATTCCCCACTCATTCTAAAGGTCATATACTGGATTTGCTTTGTTGTTCTGGTGTCACCACTACTCACTGCAAACTGCACATCTGTCCCTCTTTCTCATGTAAATAACTTCTGCGACCTGTACTCCTCGTGACATCACAGTTCGGAAAACTAATGAAATCGATGCTGACATTTTCTCACCTGCTATACATGACCCTTAATCCATTCACAGCTTCTCACACCTGATGAACCCACTTCCTGCTACAACGTCCACCTCCAAAACCTGAACACATCTGCTCCACTCAGACACAATCCGTTTCATTTTCTCACTCAGCATCATGGTTTGGGCCTGCTTTTCATCAGCAGGGACAGGGAAGATGGTCAGAGTTGATGGGAAGATGGATGGGGCCAGATACAGGACCATTCTGGAAGAAAACCAGTTTGAGTCTGCAAGAGACCTGAGACTGGGACGGAGATTCATCTTCAACAAGACAATGATCCAAAACATAAAGACACATCTACAATGGAATGGTTCACAAATAAACGTATCCAGGTGTTGGAATGGCCAAGTCAAAGTCCAGACCTGAATCCAATCGAGAATCTGTGGAAAGAGCTGAAGACTGCTGTTCACAAACGCTCTCCATCCAACCTCACTGAGCTCCAGCTGTTCTGCAGGAAGAATGGGCAGAACTTCAGTGTCTCCATGTTCAAAACTGATGGAGACAAACCCCAAGAGACTTGCAGCTGGAACTGCAGCTGGAACTGCAGCAAGAGGCGGAGCTACAAAGGATTAACGCAAGGGGGGCCCAATAATACTGCACGCCCCACTTTCAGTTTTTATTTGTTAAAAAGTTTGACACATCCAATAAATTTCATTCCACTTCACGATTGTGTCCCACTTGTTGTTGATTCTTCACAAAAAATTAAATTTATATCTTTATGTTTGAAGCCTGAAATGTGGCAAAAGGTTGAAAAGTTCAAGGGGACAATACTTTAGCAAGGCACTGTATTATAATCATTATTATTATAATCATTATTATTATTATTATTATTGTTATTATTGTTGTTCTTATTAATACCTTTAAAAATGACTGAGTTCAAAGCCCTTGGCCTGGCTCTTGGGCTGTTGTCATGACAACCTTGGATCGACCTGAAGGACAAACCCAACAAACGTTTGTTATCCAGCCTGACTTGTGTCTTCTTCAATGTGCTCTCAGGTTTTTGTTGTTATCTCAGATCAGAACCGTCCACGGCCCTCTGACTCTGGACCAACTCTGCCTGTGTGTCCGTGCACGTTAACGCTTCACACCCGGCCGGTCATGCACGCTGATTAGATTAGGCAGCGCTGCAGCTAATCGCCCTTCTCTCTTCTCCCCCTGCTATTCTTTACTCCCCTGCTCATTTTATCCCTGAACTTTCCATGTCCTCAGGACTCCCTTTGGTTTCTGCAGATGAGCCTTCCTTGGGGTGGG